TCTGTGTGGACAAGGCCTTCCATTTACATGAAATGAACGAACATTTTATGAGAGAACAAACATAAATGTGCTTTAATAATTTTAACTTCCGCCGCCGCACCGCGCTGACCGTACTATGTTATGCGCAATGCGTGAAGTATTCATGCAGTCTTGTAGGCGCTATGCGTTTCACACCGCCCGCTGCTGACCGCAGCGACCGCATTGTCTTTGACGCAATGCGTGAAGTATTCATGCAGTCTTGTAGGCGCTAATATGTGTTACATGCCGAGCACCGCGCCGCGCCGAAGGTTTCTCCTGTTCATCTCAAGTTCTTGTCATGATTGCTCTCTGCGCCGCGCCGTTCCAGGCCAAATTCTGTGTTCGGTTTCTCTCTTAGTCTTAACTCGACTAATTGAAGGTGCTGTCTATTGTGTCACAGGAAGACGACAAAATTAGAGATATACTCTCGGGAAATGAGAGATTTTGTCACTTTTCCTCGTTTGTAATTTTTTCTCTGAATCCGATTTTTCTGTATAGCTACATTTAAAAAAATTGGGCCGCGGCCCATGTGGCCACCCCCTAAATCCGGCCCTAGCTACTAGACAAACTGAAACATCGAGCTCGGGTTGACCGAAAGGTCAGCGCGACTTTTCTAACATAATAAAACCCGATCATGGATGGATAAATGGACTTAATTTTGCAATTAGGAACTACAAATATCTAACTCATTTGAGAAACAACGTAAGTGCCGACAGTTAATAGCCGATTGGTCCTTCTTTGGATGAGCTAAGGTTCCTTATTGCAAAATGAAGTCCAAATGATAAGATGTCGAACTGACAACACTGAGCGGCACCCCACACCGCGGGAGGCGGGAAGTACGACTGGACGCGGGACTTTCAAAAGGGCAGGCGGGCGCCCTGGGGTCCGATTCTGCGCGTCACACACGTGGGCGCCTCACGAGTTGCGAGGCGTGAGGACTTTCGCCCATTTCAATCGCATCTTACGACTCACGTCAAAATCTTCATAATTCTATTGAGTAAATAAATGAGCTTTCAGCTGCAGCCTCAGGCGCCGCTCTGAATAGAGAGCGTCTGTTTTTGATTTCATCGGAAATTTGAATGCAAATTGATGAAGAGAAATGATGGCAGTGGATGATTTCTAGAAACTGGAATCTAGTGCAAATTGATAGAGAGAATTGGTACAATTGGATAATTCACAGAAACTGGAATCTATCAGAAACATGACTTGTATTTTCCTCATTTTGCCGAAAAAATAGTTTTTTCGTGTATATTTTCCCCCTTTTTTCTTTTTCTTTTTGTTTGTTTGTTTTATGTGAACGGATTATTTTATTTTTTATTGACATTACTTAGTTAATAGACGATGTTTCTCTGGTAGAGGAAAAAGAAATAAAAATTGATAAAGGTATATGTGTGTGTTCCACGCTGTATCGAGCTGCCATAGCCGTAAAATTTGCAAAATTTGAGTAATACTTCATACTCTATAGGTTGGTGATCAAGTGATCACGGAGTAGGAATTAAAAGAAAAGAGCGGCAGTTTGTATATGATGACTAAATCTCAGATAAGATAACATTTATCTGAATATTAATCGTCTTGTTGTCTTACAAACAATGATAAAGATGATAAACATACGTTCAGAAATTTCAATAAAATCAATTCGACACTTTTATTTATGGCACTGATAAATGAAAGAATTAGAATGAGTCACTGTCTAAAAGTGCACTGACACGAAGACTTGTCAGTGATTGATTACTTAAGCGTGTGGTCGATTTTCTTGGAATCTCATTTCACTTTCACTGGAACATTTCAGCTATCCGACCTATCCTGTCCTCCTCTTTATAGTCTAAAATTAAGGCTACCCGATGTGTATCTTCATAAAATTCAGGTTTTTTTTTTTTTTTTTTTTTTGTAAATTACTGCTTTTGTTGGTGATTTTCTACGTGGGAGCGGGGTTGTTAGTCCTCACAGGTCGAAATTAATCGTATGTCAACTTGTCATTCAACTATATTAGAAGGAAAAATTTAGGATTTAAGGAAATGCAATAAACAGAAAATGGCTGAGGCGTGATGCTGGTTAATTTAAGAATAAGTATATTTAAAAAAAATGGGGGGATAAGGGAGAGAGGAAAATCTAAATTATTTGGTTTTCTCAATCAGAGGAGAAAAAAGGGGTAGGTAGTCCTGTATCTAAACTAGCTTTTAAATTTCTTTATTCGAGATGGAAACTCGAAGTAGCACAGACTATATCTAATCTTATCTGTACTAAAGAGCAATTCGGACACTCAGCTACATTAAAAAAAGAAGCGAAAATAAAAAAAATACTTTCATTTGCAGTGTGAAGATGCATTCATAGTAACATCACGAACACTGACTCAGAGGCAAATAGGTTCAAAAAAATGATGAAAAAAATAAAATAATCACGGAGCCAGGCACACTAAAGTATTACTGAAAAAAGGCAATTATTTATTTTCGTTTAGCTTGACATTAAAATATACGCGAAGCATCTAAATATGTACACTGGCGGCAAAGGAAATGTTGATTATGTAAAAACAGCACAGACAAAACAACCCACTAGGTACAGTAGGTAGGAGCCAGCGCAAATGTTGACACATCGAGAGCAAACTTAGCCGAGTGATAAGATACGGGGAATATCAACGATATGTCTTACCTGTTATGACGATCGGACTAAACGAGTAATCCTTCCGGGTGCAAGCTCATTGGCAGTGCGAAATGCCACATAAATTTCAAAGACATGGCTCGCTCACGACTGAATTTGATCATACTGGGTGAAATGTTACCGTCGCGACTCGGGCGAGAACTAGGTTACATCACAGCTTCACCATGAAATTTGAGAGGAAATCACTTCATGACTCGAATCCGCAGCCGGTTCACCGTTCGACATGAAAGGAAGGACGCGGAATAACTAAACTACAACGTCCCGCAATGAAGCCGAGTTCGGAATGACATGCCGAGTTTTCGAAGGAACTAGCTGTGCGGACGAACTGGGCGACAGGCGATTTTCATGATAACGTGAAAGTAGACTGGAGAAGTAAATTGCCTCGTCTCGCACAGATATAACGCAAGCGCCGCTCCGCCAACGTGAAAAATCGATCATACTTTGAGCGCGCTCTGTCGCCCTTATCCGCAACTCTCGTCTCGGTGCCTTAAAACGATGAACGAACAACGATTTGAGAACTTCATCGCAGATTCAAATTCGACCGCGAAACGGGCGTGGGCGGAATTAGGATTTTTTAGGAGGGGGGGGGGGAGGGGTGTCTC